TAACTGTTGATACTAATAATAATATCCTCCAGACCGAACTTCGGTCACGGCGGCCAACCTTTATTTTATAGGATAGTGTGACAAACGAGCACACAGTCCACCTGATGGTAAGTGGTTGCTGTGGCCCATAGTCATCTACATCTATCCTCGATTACGAATCAAAATGCAGATGCGTTGTCACCCGCGAGGACTAATATGGAATGCCTCTTTTCCAGTAAAAAGGGTCTCCGGTTCTCTACGCTCACCATACGAAACACAGCAGTGTTAAAGCTGCTATTTTACGCTGGTATTCTGTGAGAGCGTGGTCGTTCCACGGTCGAGCCGACCCATTCGTGCTACAACTATACTACTAATATAGCTGCAGCATGGTTCTACCGCGTATAAAGCCTCAACGGAGACTAGCCATCGGCGCAGGACAGGATTATAGTGCCCAAGTGTATACGCAAACTTAGCTGCACTCTATTCCCTCACTGTCATAGTCCGATGGGACGGTAAACCGACACGAGCGGAGAGAGATCAGGCGTAGGAGCAACGGCTTTACGTGCTATCCGAGGCACGGGAGTGAGACACCGCCAGCTTCCTGAATCCGGGCAGCTACTGAGAATTTCTTGATGGAAAAGCTCAATAACTGTTTCTTTTTGGTCCGACCCGGGATTCAAACCTGGTACCTCATGAACAGCAGTCGCACTCCTGTCGATGCTACTGTATGCTTAAATAATATTTTTGGATACAGTTTTACATTTTTTTAATAAATTACAACACGTATTGCATAATAATCTATATCTATATAAATAAAATGATAGAGGTTTGCAGTTGTGCACACATCACGGAAAAACTACTGGATAGATTTCAATTCTCTACGTGGTAGAGCCATGCTGCAGCTATATTATGGTTGTAGCACGAATGGGTCGGCTCGACCGGGAAAGGACCACGCTCTCACAGAAAACCAGCGTAAAATAGCAGCTTAACGCTGCTGTGTTTCGTATGGTGAGTGTAGAGAACCGGAGACCCTTTTTACTGGCAAAGAGGCATTCCATCTTAGTCCTCACGGGTGACAACGCATCTGCATCTTGAGTCTTTATTGAGGATAGATGTAGATGTCTATGGGTCAGAGTAACCACTTACCATCAGGTGGACTGTGTGCTCGTTTATCACTCGATCCTATAAAAAAAAATTAGGTTTTCTAAGTTTTATTTCTTCGACATTTGGCCCTTATCTAAAAAAAATTGCGATGTCTTCATTTAATATAGTTTTAAGAAACAACGATTTTTATACTGACTTTTTCGCAGTGTCAACTGTGCGTCGCTTGCTCTCTCGTTACTAACACAGATAATTTATATATTTTAGCTACAAACGGAGCAATGAATAACATTGTTTACAAAGAAATTTTGTAAGCAAGGTATATTTTGCTTGCGATCTTTTTGATGTTTATTCCTTCGCACATACGAAAACTTTGTTAATATATCAAGCAACACGGACGAAGTCACGGGTATCAGCTAGTATCTAATAAAATAATATTTTAGAGTTATAAAATTGCGCGAACAAAATGGCGAGCATAGCTGGTTCACAATAAACTTTTAGGTAGGTACCTAGTAAAGTAATAAGTGATTTAGAATGAGGGCATCTACGTCTTTTCTGCCACTAGGGCGGCGCCACTAGAAAGTGAAGTATAATATTTAACAGATTTCATAGCGGGAAGTTAATTAGTTCGGAAAAAGTAAAAGTTATTGTTTCTTTCTGTAGGTACTATTAGTTATATTTTATATTAATAACATTAAAAATGAACAAACCAAACCACACATAAATATATATAAATAAAGAAATATTAAAAAAAAAGTTAATATGTGCAAAAAATAAAAGAGCAAACCACTGACGCATTGTTTTATGTATTAATACTCTACAAACTTGTCTCTACAAACCGATAAACTTTTATTGAAAACCAATTTCTCAATTAAATGACATTGTGTAACAAAAAACTTTATCTCAGTGTCAACTAGCGACATCTGGTGATCAGAAAATTATTAGCCCTCATTAGACAGAACCTTTTCGGTAAAAAATAAACAAACATTTAAATATTACTTATGCGAGTAGCATATAAAAGTTAATTAAAATAATCATGCGAATATTATTCATAACAAGTAATAATGACTTCCGCCAAACAACATTATCTCGTGGGATCGAACCCGGAACTGCGTTTTTTTACGCTGACTGCGTCGCCCTGCGTCCGGAATATGATGGACTCAGAAATCAGAAATCAGAAATGTTTATTTGCTTTAAACATGGTAGTACAAAGATCTTAATATAGTGATATGTCCTCATGTTTGACTTATAACTGTCATGCAAATTTAAAAGTAGATACATTTGAATCTACTTAGAACTAAAAATAAGTTAATAGACAAAATATAAAACTAATGGTGGACTTTTTGTGTCGAGTAACTTGCAATTTGTTTATGTGCGAACAGATTTTGTTTACCGATGTTACGAATATATGCAGCTATCGGCCGTGTCGTGACCGTGACAGTGGCGGTGTAAGAATGTTCACTACCCCATATTTATAATCCCGTGGGTGTCGTAATCGTAAGAGGCGAAACTAGCATGGGCAAGAGACAATTTTATACCCGGAGAAAGGAGACAATGTTTATCCCCTCGCTTAGTTTTATCCACCCTCCAAGCATGCGCACTGGTGGATATAATATCCACAGTAGATAAAATGGGAGATAGACTTAGACTTCGATAGATTTTTTGTATGAATATAAACTTAAACCCACGTCCAATGAACTAGAATAGAATTGTCCCTTTCAAATGTCAAAAGAGCATAATTTTTTATCTTTCATTTGGCTCCATGCTACGGACGGGGGATATATGTCTACTCGTTATGTCAAACGGGGATATACTTCTCCCCGTTGCCGTGCTTTGGCATAGGGACAATTATCTCTTGTCAGTCGATATAATCGGGGGATAAAATTTTTGTACCCAGCCCATGCTCGCCGTGCCGGAGGTGGGAGTGTCTTCATAATAACAAAACTGCTGTTGCCAACCAAACCTTTGTCAATAATATCCACTATATGATGATATTTATAAGGACGCTCACTATGTTTAACTGTAGAATTTGATAGGTTGTAATGATGATGATGATAATGATGATGGTGATGTAGGTTCTCTTGACGATAATCTTCAAGGTTCTGTGTCAATATTAATGGAGATCCAGAGTGACCGACATAGCCCAATGGATTAGTAAGCTGAAGTGGCAATGGGCCGGCCATATAGCTCGAAGAACCGACAACCGATGGGGAAGAAAGGTTCACGAGTGGCAGCCACTAGATGGAGTGACGACGTGGTAAAACATGCAGGAAATCGTTGGATGCAGGTGGCTGAGGGCCGTGCTTTGTAGCATTCCTTGGGGGAGGCCTATGTTCAGCAGTGGAAATAACAAATCTATATACAATACTACAATACAAATAAATAAAAATGAAGTGTCCGTTTGTAATGGCAAAATAACAGATTTTTACTACATGCATATGAACGTATATACCTACGGTACATATAACAAATACACAATTTTTTATCTGCCTGTCTGTCTATCTGTCTGTCTGTTTGTTCCAGCTAATATCCGAAATGGCTGGACGGATTTTGACGGGACTTTCACTGGCAGATAGCTGATTTTATATGGAGTAACTTAGGCTACCTTTATTTTATGAAAGTAGTTAGTGTTCCTGGGTTGCGCATAAAAATTAAAAGCCTAAATTACACGCGGGCGAAGTGGCGGGAAACAGCTAGTTTTTATAATATAATAAAACCATTATTAACCCCCAAAACAGCTTTATTTAAAAACATAATCATTAAACCTCTCTGTTTTCAAAGTATAATTAATAAGAAAACAGACAGACATTTGGCGCCATCTCATATTACACGTTCTGGTTTCGCAAATGCAAATATATTTCCTCTGCGACTGAGTTTCAGCCAGTAATCACAGATGTCGTTAGTTACTCGCGGCTGCACCGAACCGGATGGGTAATGACCGGGCTTGAACAGAGACTAACTTATAAATTCTCAACTTCTCATGTGCAATCGCTACAGAGTAGAATGTGGTGTGTTATTAATTAAAACGTATCCGTGGTGAACTGTATGGGTGAATAAGCAAACATTTTAATAACTGAGCGAGCCTTTTCATGTTATTTTATTTACGTCATCGATTTGGTGAGCCTTTGCCACAAAATGAAGAGATTAGTCTATTCCTGAGTGTTCGAATTCCAACTGAAAATTTATATTTATGCAACTGTAAGATTAGGTATCTTTTAATTTTCGGGCTTTGTTGTCATATGACACTCTTAGTGACTAACAATATTATAAATAATATTAAATTTATTACTTGTTCCTTACACATTAAATGTAATTAAACAAAAACGGAACCGTGGTAGCTCAGTGCCTTAGCGCTCGCTGTAAATTTTACAGTACGCAGGCAACCCGGGCTCAAACGCCGCCGGCACCAATGAAATTGTTTCTTGCAATATTAAGTGCTGATTTACCACGTACTCGGCGCTGAAGGAAAACATCTTGAGGAAACCTGCATGTCGAATAAACAAAAAAAAAATACTTTCGAAGTTCGAAAACGTGAAGTCTGGGCATTGGGACAGCGCGACTGACACTTCCTTGCCCTAAAACCCTTTCAGAAGTGAAAAGAGGCCCAGCTGTGGGACGTATATACACTGTTGCTTTAAATTTAAACAAAACAATGGCGTTAAATTAAAAATTAAAAAAATGATCAAATCGCGCTAAATCGAAGTAAAGTTTTTTTGTGTAGTGAGGTGACTAATTGCTCGATAATCGGAACTAGGGCTGCACCAAAATCAACGTTGAATCATAGAGCAGTAGGTTATCACAGCGTACATACTCGTATTATTCAATGAACGAAATTATCTAACATTGACGATGTTGCATGCTTCATCAATGTTCCAATAATTAAAGGAATAGCAATGTTAACTTAATTTCTCTTGTTTCAGTGGATCACTCCAGAGGAATGTGCGGTGTACAGCCGCGAGCGAAGGCCGCCCCTCGTCATCCCGCGTATTACGCAATACCGCGCACCAAGGCGCGATACCAGACAGCAGAACTATGGTGCTCATGCGTATGAGGTGAGTGTTATTCTGCACTCTATAATTTATTGTCATTTCAGTATGAAGGTTAAGATTCGAAGTTTTGACATAGTACTGAGCAATCGAGCTAGGCAGTATTGGGATACTATTTATTTATTTATTTGCATGCCACAATGCCCTTAGGAGGAGCATTGCAATTTAGAATTTTACTATATTCTGGATATTCGGGATACATACTGCAAAGGCTGAAGACAAAAGTCTTCGACTAGTGCGTCCCGCTCGTATATTATGGTGCCAAAATGTCTACCGAATACCGAATACTAATTCGGTATAACTTTATTGAAAATTGTCGCCTTGTTAAAATTGACCAAAATAGTCATCATCCTCTATTATACTATAAAAACCCTTCTTTTTCGAATTGCATTGTTATTTAATCTTTCGCCATATTTTTCGCACTTTATAGAAAGAGACGGAAAATATATTTGCAAACAGTCTGAAACACAATGAGTCAAAGGTCCCGGACGGTCGGGCCTTACCAAGTTGCTAATTTGTCCGATTACCGATGTCGCGTCATTAATTATGCGGGCGCATCGTGTTGTTCACCCGACGCAAAATGGCGGCATTCGCGCCAATACCGCGTCCGGCCATCAATGATTGAATGAATCAAACTTCAATCTCTATATGTAAACTTTATTGTGTACGAAGCGACTCTACCATTTTATTTGTGATGTGTTATGGAGAATATACTTCATTTAGCCAACATAATGTTTAGATATTTTTAAAGCCGCTAATTTAACAAACTTTTTTTGGCCAAATCAAAAATGTTCTATGATCTGAGGTAAATATGAATGGATACTTAGTGAACCTATATTGAACTGAAACAGAAGATAAGTAACAGCTGATAACAACTCTATAAGAATAAAAATAAACTGCGTTTGCCAACCCTCCTGCCAATGATGGAGGCCTATGTTCAACAGTGGCATAGGCCTAGGTTCAACGTAGGCTGTTGAACGAAGTACCAGTATCCAGTACTAAAAACCAAGTATTTACCTTTTGTTACTGCGAACGGTTGTTGGATTTGATTAGAACCCTATTATCAAAAGAGTGTCCCATGCTCCCATGTTTATGTGGGACTATAGCAAAAAAAAACTAAAAGGTGACTAGTGGGATGTTGGGCTTGTGAGTATGTACACAATGGGCTAGCCATAAGTGGCTATCACTTCTTTCTTAATTTTCATATTTTTTAACTAAACGTGGTCCAAATAACACGATGCTCTTTGGTCTCTGTCTACCCCTCACGGAGGTTACAGGCGTGACGATATTAATTGAGAGGTGGAAATGGGAAGTAGGTAAAAGGTTAGTATTAAAACATAGGTTTGTCCTCTTGTAATCTTTAAACTCCATAAATTCAAATCTTTATAAAATAAATTCTTGTTAATTATCTATCTATATTTATTATACAACCTCACTGACCTTATCTATTTTATAGACAAAGTTTCATTCCAGTGATAATTTTATCGCAGCCTTTGAATCATAACTTTATCTATTAAAATCAACGTAAATTATAAGTGCGTGAACAATAATGAAGTATTTTGGTTGAGGCATAGAAATAACAAGATATCGATGATGATGTAAGAAAGACGACGATTTTGATGTCGATGGATACAGGTAGGTCAGGACCGTGCTTTGTGGCATTCTTTGGCGTATGTTCCGCAATGGACTTGTGATGGAATATAATGCTGTTGATAATAAAAATGCTGGAGGAATTTGCAAAGTAAATAGAGACAATGATTTAAAATTCATATAGATTAGGATGTCGAAATTTTAGAGCAAATACAAAAATTAACAATTTTCTCACTTTAATTTGTAATTTGCATCTCCATACGTTATTCAGACAAATGCAAATAAAACACAGAAATTATTGATGCACTAACAATATAATGTCCACTTATGCGCAATAAGTAAATTAAACAGTTTTAAAATGATTTATTTTTATTTAACTGTACGTTTTTGTACCTTAATTAATAAATTTTACAAGTTAGTATAGTGTGCAGTGGCACCAAATTTTTGTGTGTTCCGCTTGGATCTCGATGTTTTTTAGATAGTATAAAGGGGTACGAGCATACAGTCTACCTGATGGTATGTGGAGGCTGTGACCAATATAGACAACTATATTTATACTCGATTAAGAATAAAAATGCAATACAAAAACAACAACCCCCTGAGGACAAAGCAAAAATGGTATCCGGTTCTCTACAACTACCATACGAAACACAGCAGCATTAAGCTGCCATTTCACGCTGATATTCTGTGAGAGTGTCGTCCTACCTGGCCGAGACGACCCATTGGTGTTAGAACTATAATATAGCTGCAGCGTGTCTCTACCACGTATATAAACCTTGTACCTTGATTCTTTCGTATTTCTGATACATTATACCAAATAGGTACAAGAACCAAATGCGATTTGACGCAGTTATTGCTTGTGGTATTATTAGATATATACGTAGTTCGGTGACAAATGAAAACTTATTGTAGTTACTCGGATTACTTTGAGGCTAAGTGCTTAGCATATTGGCACAACTGAAAGGTCCTCATTGAATCGACTACGTTGAGTTCAGTAATCAGCGGGCTCGTAATAAAGCATAAGATAACGAAGGCGAACGTTTCCTAACGTCGATTCGACGACCGAGTATTGATAACAGAATTTTAGTGATGTGTGTATAGTTTATCGATGAGTACTTTTTTATAGAATAAGGGTGGCAAACGAGCACACAGTTCACCTGATGGTAAATGGATGCTGTGGCCCATAGATATCAGAGAAAATGTTAGTCGAAAATTCATTGTGGAATCCTAATTTTACAATTACATATTTTAGTATATCGATAAAGGTGCCTAAAATTTCAATAGATATTTTTTTTTTAAATTACATACATTTACTAATCTCAAACAGATGAATGGTATTCCCAAACTTAATTATTTAAAATCATAGATTGCTTAAAATATGACATTATTCGCGATAATATGACAAAAGAGTACCAATTTCGTATTTCTCTAATAAAAATCATTTTGATTCCTCTCACGTAATCGTTCTTCCTTATGTAGCCTGCATTTATCGACAAACGTGGGACCACCCATCAATTCATCGCATCACTATAACAATATCATTATGTTACGCGCTTACTCCGCCACAATTGTCGGTGTGTCACAGTACCAATATGTCCTGTACAATTTGTTAGCGATTGTTTTCCTTTACACGTTTATTACCTCCTTTAACATATTTATAGAATTAATTCGGGGCGGCCGTTTTGTAGAATATGTAGTGTATTTATTTATTTGTGTCTGTGGACATAAAAATGCGGACTAGTGACATAACACAAACATCTTTTAAGTGCGAAGTAGTGCAAAAGAGGAAGTGACACGATACAATGTTTAAAGTGAAAAGGGAAAGGACTTGGTTCGGAAGGGTAAATATATTTTTTACACTGGCAACATCACAGAACAGTATTTACCAATGAACTAGAACATTCTTTGAACAATGCTGGAATATTATATTAACCTTATATTATTTTAATAAAGTTAAAGGAAGTCTGTTGTATGAAATATATATGTATATGTCTATATTTTTCATCGAATATTCTGGCTATTCTTATTTAGGTAAAGGCTAGAATTATGTATATATTACTTATCTGTTTAAGTAGAATAATTTTACCGCCAAAATCATGCTACATATGTTAAGTGAAATATCCGAAATCGTTCCCGTCTTTCAGTGAATGCAATCACAAAGTACTTCACAGATTATACAACTGTGCACTTGTCAAAAGCTTTTGTTAGATCATTGCTTGCAGTGGTGCATTAGTGTATATTGTACTAGAAGAGGCGCTAAGTATGAACAACATGTGTCAGTGAGTTAGTTCCGAAATCGAACTGTCACTCTAGAGCTGTGCAGCTTACTATGGCTTTTTGAATTAATTAACATAGTACGTATATGATGATGAGTTTACTATGTATTCAAGGTCGTTGTAGCCGTGAAATTTTTTCTGTTAGCGACTTATTGAAATTGCTTACTTGCAATGATATGCAATTTGTTCTTCATTATTGTTAGGTTAGGTATCTTCTTTTCATTACTGGCCCGCAAAAGACCACTGGTTATCACGGCCCTCCCCCTTTACGGGGGGAGGATTTGCCTCAATCGCCATGCTTCGCAGACAGTATTGTGACGTTTTAGATACCTTTTTGCACCTTTGACGGTGTTCCCCGTTTGCGATCTATATTTCTATAGTAAACAAATTGGTTACACCGCCATCTATCGGAAGTTTTGAGATCTCTTAGGCACTTCCTACGTTCGCCTCTTACTACATCATCATGAAATTAAATGGGGTAACGCATTGCGTCTCCACTCTTGAGAGAATGCCCTTTGACGTCCTACAAAGGTCATTCTCTCCCAGTGGACAGTCTAGTTTTTTTTTTCATAGAATTAGGTTGACAAAGGAGCATATCTATAGTCTACCTGATGGTAAGTGGATTCTGTGACCCATAGACATCTACATCTATCCTCAATTAAGAAACAATATGTGGATGTGTTGTTACCCCCTAGGATTAAAATGGAATACCTCGTATCCAGTATAAGGGGTATCCGGTTCTCTGCATTCATCATACGAAGCACAGCAGCTTTAAGCTGCTATTTTACGCTGGTATTCTGTGAGAGCGTCGTCCTTCCCCGATCGAGGCGATCCATTCGTGCTACAACCATAATATAGCTGCAGCGTGATTACCACGTACACAAGTTAGATTTATTATGATTAAAATAATGCTGTTAACTTGAGGCCATAAAGTTTACCTGGTATTTAACCTCCGATCTTTATAATTTGAATCTTATGACACTATCGGGAGAAAAATTTTTGATGGATTATTTTATTCCGTCACTACACGACACGGTTTTGCTTTTATGCTTTAACTCATGCCTTGTGGCATGTGGCAACACACGCTGTATGGAAATTAAAACTACAATTTAATGGCTAAATACTCAAACGCTGCTCAAT